AGTTCTCGACATACTAAAGCATGTGGTCAAGTTGATTGATAATATATATATATATATATATACGAATGTCTTGTTTTATTATATAGATATTTATAACAACAAATTAACTTTTATTTTTGTTAGGCGATTGATGCCGCCAAAGCTCCCGCTAGAGCCGCTGTTATATTGGATGGTTTAGGGTTTATAGGAGACATGCAGGTATACAGTACACTTGTACAGTAGGGGTCATAGGGTATACAGTATACAGTACAGTAGTTCTAAAGTAGGGGTTAAAGGGTAACACAGTACAGTAGTACAGTAGGCCTAGGGGTCCTAAAAGACATGCAGGTTATTGGTTTTTGGTACACCAGCAACAAGAACGTTTATCTGGTAAGGAACGTTCAACAAACACGTTTAACTGTACGGGAACGTGCAACAAAAAGGTTTTAATGTACGGGAACGTGTAACAAAAAAGTTTAACTGTTCGGGAACGTGCATCAAAAACGTTTAACTGCACGGGAACGTGCAACAAAGACGTTTAACTGGACGGGAACGTGCAACAAAAAGGTTTAACTTTTAAGGAACGTTCAACAAGCTGTTGAACGCTAATCAAAAAGTTTAACAAGGAACATGCTACAAAAATGTTTAATTATTAAGGAACGTGTTTAATTATTAAGAAATGTGCTACCAAAACGTTTAACTGTTAAGGAACGTGCAACGAAGACGTTTTCTGGAGGTTGGAGGATGAGATTAGCGTTGGCCCGGGCACTCTTCTCTAAACCAGATTTACTACTTCTTGACGAACCTACTAACATGTTGGATATGCAGGTTATAAACTGTCTGCTATCTATATCTAGTTATCTATCCTTCCATCCATCCATATATCTTTCTAACTATCCCATCTATGTAGGTATCTATCTGTCTATATATCTATCTTGATTTTATGACTTTTTCACATGATTTTACTATTTATTGATGCCTACATAATGTTTCTGGTTTTCTATATATCTATCTATCTATCTAGGCTATAATCTGGTTGGAAAGGTACCTACAGACCTGGAAGTCCACTATTCTAGTAGTTTCTCACGACCGTAGTTTCCTTGATGAGGTTCCAACAGATATTCTTCATCTACACTCACAGAAGATTGATACTTACAAGGTAGGAGGAGCAACAACCAGACAACTTACAAGGTAGGAGGAGCAACAACCAGACAACTTACAAGGTAGGAGGAGCAACAACCAGACAACTTACAAGGTAGGAGGAACAACAACCAGACAAATTACTAGGTAGGAGGAACAACAACCATACTACTTACAAGGTAGGAGGAACAACAACCAGATAACTTACAAGGTAGGAGGAACAACAACCAGACAACTTACAAGGTAGGAGGAACAACAACGAGACAAGTTACAAGGTAGGAGGAACAACAACCAGACAACTTACAAGGTAGGAGGAACAACAACCAGACAACTGTAGAATCAATGTCGCAGTAGTGTTTTTTTTCACCCTGAAGCTATATATGAGGATTTTTTTTCGCTGAATGGGGGAAAATAAATGATTTCTGGTTAAAAAGTATCAAAAAGAATAAAAAAAATTTACCTTTTGATTTCACATTTTTCATTTTTCTTCCCCAATTCATAAAAAATCATCCCCCCAGAGGGTGAGGGGGGGGCTTGTAAATATACACCCCTGCAATGTCGTCTTTGTCATTCATTAATTTTCCAAAAACTTCTAAAAAATATCTCTGAGGCCGATGTTGATGATCTTGGGGCGAGTTTTCCTACTCTTAATTTCTTTCATAATTCAGCAAATAAAATTGTAAGAACGAATATCCCTGGATATGTGAAGACTTAGTTTACGAAACCTTTGCCGACATTTTATAATAACGATAAATATTTATTTTGTTTTTATTTTTTCTTACATAAAATCAATGATCACTTCTTAATAGTCTCGCTGCTGGTTATGACTATGTTAAATTTTGTTAACAATCCCTTTGAATTAAAATTTTATAAAGGGTAACTACAGTGACTTCAACAACACCATGGTGGAGAGGTTGAAGGCACAGTCCAGGGAGTACGAGAGTCAGATGGAGTTTAGGAAACACGTTCAGGAGTTCATTGATAAATTCAGGTTAGTTCAGGAGTTCATTGATAAATGTATGTTAGTTCAGGATTTCATTGATAAATATAGGTTAGTTCAAGAGTTGATTGATAAATATAGGTCAGTTGAGGAGTTCGTTGATATATATAGGTTAGTTCAGGAGTTCATTGATAAATATAGGTCAGTTCAAGAGTTCATTGATAAATATAGGTCAGTTCAAGAGTTCATTGATAAATATAGGTCAGTTCAAGAGTTCATTGATAAATATAGGTCAGTTNGCACATATGGTTTAGTTTTGACTCAGGCTACTAGAACAGCACATATGGTTTAGTTTTGACTCAGGCTACTAGAACAGCACATATGGTTTAGTTTTGACTCAGGCTACTAGAACAGCACATATGGTTTAGTTTTGACTCAGGCTACTAGAACAGCACATATGGTTTAGTTTTGACTCAGGCTACTAGAACAGCACATATGGTTTAGTTTTGACTCAGGCTACTAGAACAGCACATATGGTTTAGTTTTGACTCAGGCTACTAGAACAGCACATATGGTTTAGTTTTGACTCAGGCTACTAGAACAGCACATATGGTTTAGTTTTGACTCAGGCTACTAGAACAGCACATATGGTTTAGTTTTGACTCAGGCTACTAGAACAGCACATATGGTTTAGTTTTGACTCAGGCTACTAGAACAGCACATATGGTTTAGTTTTGACTCAGGCTACTAGAACAGCACATATGGTTTAGTTTTGACTCAGGCTACTAGAACAGCACATATGGTTTAGTTTTGACTCAGGCTACTAGAACAGCACATATGGTTTAGTTTTGACTCAGGCTACTAGAACAGCACATATGGTTTAGTTTTGACTCAGGCTACTAGAACAGCACATATGGTTTAGTTTTGACTCAGGCTACTAGAACAGCACATATGGTTTAGTTTTGACTCAGGCTACTAGAACAGCACATATGGTTTAGTTTTGACTCAGGCTACTAGAACAGCACATATGGTTTAGTTTTGACTCAGGCTACTAGAACAGCACATATGGTTTAGTTTTGACTCAGGCTACTAGAACAGCACAGGTAGGTTTAGTTTAGACTCAGGCTACTAGAACAGCACAGGTAGGTTTAATCCTACTCAGAGTAATAGAACAGCACACAGGTAGGTTTTGTCATGACTCAAGGGTACTAGAACAGTACAAAGTAGGTTGAGTCCTACTCAGGGTACTAGAACAGTATACAGGTAGGTTCAGACTCAGGGTACTAGAACAGCACATCGGTAGGTTTTGTCATGACTCAAGGGTACTAGAACAGCACACAGGTAGGTTAAGTCCTTCTCATAGTAATAGAATAGCACACATGTAAGTTTAGTTTTGACTCAGGATACTAGAATAGCACACAGGTAGAATTTGAATTGATTTTGATTTTGATTTTGATTTTGATTTTGATTTTGATTTTGATTTTGATTTTGATTTTGATTTTGATTTTGATTTTGATTTTGATTTTGATTTTGAATTTGATTTTGATTTTGATTTCGTTTTCGTTTTCGATTTCGATTTCGATTTCGATTTCGATTTCGATTTCGATTTCGATTTCGATTTCGATTTCGATTTCGATTTCGATTTCGATTTCGATTTCGATTTTGATTTCGATTTTGATTTTGAGGTCCATATTTTCTTATTTAGGAATCTGAAGTTTGGTTATTTTACTCAGCATTTTGTTGATCAATTAGATCTTAGTGTTTGCTCTGTAGAACTTATGCAGAAGGAATTCCCAGGTAAACAACATTTATTTATTCTTCATGAAAGGGAGAAACCATTAAAGGGATTTATGACGTACAATTTTATGAGACATTGAGTGGTGTATTCGATTCACAACAATACCCTGAGAAGCTTCGTTTAATGAATGATACATCCATGTTTTGTCTTTGAAACTTTATTAATATCAATTGTGGTTTCTCAATTTAAAGGATACCGTTGAGGATCGGACACATTTTCAAATGAAGGATCACTTGAAATTACAAGAACAGTCCCTTGAACAGATATCCTGTTGATCAATGTAATTAAGAGATCAATTCATCCTCTCCCAAGGAGAACGTGATTGTATCATGATCCCTCCAAGTTGATCCCTTTCTTGAAAAGAACACCGACGCAATAATAAGGGGTGTCGTCGAATTCACAATTGTACCCTTTAAATAATTTAATTCACATCAAATGAGGAATTCTCACAATTTCCTTCATTGTATCTGTTACATAAATCCGCAGGTCACTTTTTAAAGAAAAATAACTAATTTTCAAATAGAAAAGTAAGGAGATCTCCTTCATACTTGATCAGACAAAGCGTTGAAGGGTATCTTTGTGAATCCAACATTTCAATTTAAAGAAAGGTTTCCTTCAAATAACTTCTACAATCTCTTTAATCGTAAATTGTTTCAGGGAAGAAGGTAGAAGAGTACAGGAGGATGCTGGGTCAGTTCGGAGTTACCGGGGATATGGCGCTACAGCAGATAGAGAGCCTGTCTGGAGGACAGAAATCCAGGTACGGTTTAAAGGGACTGTTCACAATCATTTATCATTAACAAGGAAAGAAACCCATGTAGAATTAAAGGGAGTGTTCGCATATCTAGTGGACAGAAATCCAAGTAGGATTAAATGGATTGAAGAGGTAAGCTTGAAGGGGCTGTTCACAATTCTAGAGGACAGAAATAAAGGTAGGATTAATTAAAGGGGCTGTTCACATATCTAGAGGACAAAAATAGGTTAAAGAGACTATTGACATATAGAGGACAGAAATAGGTGCAGGGGGGCAGAGCCCCCTTTGCAAAGAAAAATTTTGAATTTTAGTAGAATAAGGGAGCGTTTTGGTTCCCTATAAAGGTCAACTTCAAGGTCCCCCCTGAGATTTTTTAAAGCATTTCTGATACTGTTCTTTGGTTAAATTTCTCTTTCCTCTTTTCCCTTCTCTCTTCCCCCTTTTCCTTTCCCTTCCCCCCCTTTTCCTTTTTCTTACCCCTTTTTCCTTTTCTCTTCCCTTCCCTTTTCCCCTTCCCTCTTTTCCCTTTACCCTTTCTTTTCCCCCTTCCCTTTTCCCCTTCCCTTTTCCCCTTACCTGTTCCCTTTTCTCCTTCCCTTCTCCCTTTTTTATTTTTTTTATTTTTTTCCCCAAACCCAATGACAGCTCATATTTGCCTACCCCCCAACCCCCGGGGGGGGGGGGAGGTAGGCAAATAGAAAAAGATACACCCTTGTAGGATTAAATGGATTGCTTAACACACTTACAGGATAGGAGGTAGTTATTATTAATAGGTTGCTATAGTAGACATTTGGGAAGACTAGTTAGGGTTAATAGAATTATGTGAAGCATTTTTTTTAATTTTCGGAAAGTCATACATTTTCTTCCCTAGGGATATTAAAAGTCTAATAATAGTATTAACCTGTTGCAGGGTTGCATTTGCTGTACTGTGCGGACACAATCCTAACTTCCTCATTCTTGACGAACCTACAAATCATCTTGACATAGAAACCATTGAAGCTCTAGGTTAAAGTTTTAAAGGGACTGTACGTGTAATTTAAGTGACCCTCGATTTATAAAGTGGCGTAAACGATTCACAACGGTATCCTTGAAACCTTTATCTGATTGATAATATTGAAGATATCCTCGTTTTTCCAGCTTAAAGTGTTAAATTCTTCTGCATTAATGTTGGCAACCCACAATTGAGACTAATCAATTTTTACGTTCAATGTTAAAAAAACATCGATATCTCAACATTCTTGAATATATAAAGCTTAAAAGAGTACCCTTGTGAAAAGAACACGCCACTTATTATTTTTATTATTTGGTCGTGGGCTAGAACTTGCTTTTAAAGAAATGTAAAGCAATAGAAATGATCCAGGCCTTCCAAAAAAACAATGATTGAAACTCCATTCTGACACTTGGAAACTGGGAAGCTGCTGGAAAATCCTCGCGTTTTTATTTGATTTGATTTAACAGAATCTTTAAATCGATTAAAAATTGATAAAAAATTTAGAATATTTTTTGTTGCAGGAAACGCTTTGATTAAGTACAAGGGAGGCGTAATCCTAGTTTCTCACGACGAACGTCTTCTGAAGATGGTTTGTCAGGAGCTCTGGGTCTGCTCAAGGGTTAGTGACGTCCTAGTTGTCTTATTTTATCCATGTTGTCTTAGTTTTTGTCTTATTTTGTCTCGCTTATCTTATTTTTCCTAGCTGTCTTATTTTGTCTAGTTGTCTTATCTGTCCTTGTTTTCTAATTTTGTCTAGTGGTTTTAGTTGGTCCTAGTTGTCTTATGTGTCCTTGTTGTCTTATGTGTCCTAGTTGTCTTATGTGTCCTAGTTGTCTTATGTGTCCTAGTTGTCTTATGTGTCCTAGTTGTCTTATGTGTCCTAGTTGTCTTATTTGTCATAGTTGTCTGATCCTAGTCGTCTTGTCCTCTAGTTGTCTTAGGTGTCATAGTTGTCTTATTTGTCCTAGCAGTCATGTCTTGTCATACTTTTCTTAAAGTATATGGGTGTGAATTGTCTGGGGACAAGAACTCCCCAGTAATTTTCTTTAAACAAATTAATAGTTTAATATAGAGGTTTCTTTTGTCTAATTATTTTTCATAATTGTCTTATTTTGTAGGGCAAGGTTTGGAGTATAGATGGTGGTCTGGATGAGTACAGGAAAATGGTGGAGAAAGAAATGGTGTTATCTTGAGTACATAGTACAGTACAGTACATATTTACACAGAATATGTACAGTGTACATAAACACTAAACCAGTCTTAAAACAAACAAAACAAGATATAAGCAGACATAGATAAAAAGAGAGGGGAATAGGGTGTTCTTACTTTCTATGACGTAATAGTTCAGTTCTATAAGTTCAACTAGATGTATTGTAAACACACGCATCGGGGTTAGGGGTATATTCATGTATTGTTCCAAGGGGGGCAGGGCCTATTTTTTTTCTTTCCAGGGGGTGGGCTTTAGCACCCGTTTGGGCCCAAAATTCAGGGGGGGGGGGCGGCCAATAGCTACCTTTTGAATTCACATCACCTTCACGTAATAGTTCAGTCCAGGAGCTAGTAATATTGTAAACAAACAACATTTTGTTTGTTTACTTTCTTCTCTGACGTTTAGTCGTATCAGGACAGCTCTATAACTGGATGTACTGTTACAAACAAAATTTAGTAATTGTTTGCAAACTAGTCTTTTTTTTATTTCGTCTTCTGTAGATGGTGAACAGACCCTATCCCCCTCTCCTTTGTTTAGATACATAATATGGTATCTTGATGTTAATGTAAAAAGCAGTACAATGTACTGTTTTGTACAGAAGTTTATTGTTATGTACACAGTCCACAAATGTACTGTTAACAAATGTAAATTGTTTAGAAAAATTACACACTAGAGTTTAACTAAATATTTTTGTACAACTTTGTCTAGTTAGAAAAAAAAACTTTGTCATCTTGGAAATGATATTTTTTTTTCACTCAAAGTCGCCAAACCAAATTAGGGGGGGGGGTAACAAATAGTAAAGAAAAACTACCGTTTTAGATTATTATCCGGAAATATGTTGGAACTGCTCCAAAATATGCGAATACACATTATAATCCTAGCAATGCTATTTTTATTTCCTTAAGTGCAGCCAACATATTTTTAAGTTAGTAAATTGTTCCATCAATCAACAACTGCTTTGTTTTCAACTTTTTAATCACACAATTTATTATTTAAAATTTCAGCCAAAATGCCACCTAAGGTTAGACATTCAAAAGATTCAGATTTTTAGAACAAGGGGGGGGAGGAGGTTACAGTGGGACCTATAAAAATGTGGAATAGGAAGACCGAAATAAATATTTTGTACAATTGATGTTGTAAAATGTTATTTGTAGCTTAAAGACTTAAAAATGCCATCAAATCATTTGAAAAAGAAATATAAAAAAGGACAGTGATCCATCAAACCTAAAGTTGCTACTTTTTAACAGTTAGTTATAATGTTTCCAGAGACTGTAACATTTAATTGGTCCCTGGCGCTAAGCCTACTTTCGTCTCGTTTAACTTCATATACGACGTAGATTTATAAGTTCCTGGCTCCAGTTAAAAAACAATAGAATTTTAAGTTGTTTCTTCCAAGTTTATTTTTTGACTCGTTGTTAATTCTGTATTCACCTGGCATGAAACAAGCGTAAAAACCAGGTCAAGGATAAAAAGGGGGGGGGGGCTGTGAATTGTAGTTTTAGGCAAATAGATTATCAAGTACAATGGGTGGCAATAGAGAAATGAACCAATTATACACGACGCAACATGTGTCAAATATAACAAGGAAAACGAAATTTTCTCATTTTTGTTGACATTATTAAATAAATAAGTGTAAAAACAGAAAATAAAGAACAAATGCAATTGCACTTACTTTTCTGTAAGATAAGCTCTTTCCAAAATTATCACTATTATTGATAATTTTGTCGGACACTAAAACTGAATTGACACTTGTGACGTCAGAATACAACTCTACTGAGAGTTTACAAATTCTACGTTGCCATCTATTTCACTAGAAACTATTTGGTTTTATGGAATACAAGTAAGGGGGTTTCAATTTAAATGAGAATCCAAATGTCTAAATAAAGAAAAAAGAAGAGGAGGAGAAGCACGTTCTCATCGGACGAATGGGAACAAATCTTAAATGTGGAATTGTAGGTGAGTGAGATATGAAAATTAATCAGGGACCGAAATTAATGAACGTGAGCTACGTCACTGATCAAGGTATACTGCCGCGACATTAAAATTTGAACCACCGATTCAAACTTTGAGATAAAGGAAGGATTTGAATGGTCGATTCAAATATGAACCGGCGCGGCAAAAGGCAGTTCAAATTCATTAAATTCGGTTATTATTTTTTTTCTTGGATATTAATTCTTTTGAAAATTATAAATACAAAAGGAAAGTTTGAGATTATTTGTTCTTTTGCTCTTTCGCTAACTTGGCGGGATAAGAATTTTAAAGAAAAAACAAATATTTTTTTGTTTGTAATTATCTAAAATTGAAAAACAAGCTTGCCAGTTGATGTTTTAAATTCCCTTATTGTACCTGGATGATTAATTGACGATGTTGGAAAATCAAGGCTCTTTAATTTTTTTTATCTCCCCCACCCCCCACCCCCCGTTTACTTTTCCTCGGGGTAACTTTTAAGCTCCCCCTCTTAAAAATTCCCTAATTGCGCCTTGATGATTAAATTTTCGATATCTAGGATTACCTAATGTTGGAAAATCCACATTCTTCAATGTTCTGACGAAAACCAGTATGGCGGCCGCGGAGAACTTTCCTTTTTGCACCATTGATCCTAATGAGAGCAGGTGGGATGTTAGAAATATTAAATCTTCAGAACTTGATACTTACTTGATATTTGTGATGTGATTCCAAGGACTCCGAGTAGGAGTATTGTAGGAATGTCTGTTCAATATTCATTTGATTGTTTCGACATGATTTCAAGTGGAGATATTTCATGGCCGTTTCACAGCGGTATCATCAAGCCCTTTTTCTGATTAAAAAACAGCAATATTTGTCTAGAAAATATATTAATTATTGCAATTTCCTTCATTGTCTCTGTTTCTTTAAGTCGCTTTTATAGAACATTTAAATTTAAAAAAAATAGTTTTCAGATTGTAAAACTAGGATATCTCTATTTATATTGCTCAGCCACAGGTTTAAAGGGTTTTGTTCTGAATCTGGAATGCATCTCCTTAAATGAAGCGTCACTGGAATTTAAGTTGACAGTCACTTTAACCCTTTGTCTGGAAACGAAGTTTTTTCCTATAAAATTCAACCCACTCAACTTAGAATTTTAAGAACATAACCTTGGTTTGACTAAGTTGCCCAATCAAAATTTGATGCAAAACGGTCCAGGGATGAATTAGTTATGATCGGACATATCCTATTAGATTATGCCAAAATACGCACATAATACTTAAAAAACCTTGTGTTTTCTGCATGCAATTTTTTTTTATTAGACATATATTTTTTTAAGATAATTAATTTTTCTTTTTCTTTTTTGATTTCTCCCGGAAACAGCAACTTAAAGCTATAAACAATAATCCAATGTGATGTGGGACACCCTGTTCAAACAAACAAACAGACCAGCAGAGTTTATCACTTAATATATATAGATATAGATTCTATCCATAGGGTCCCAGTCCCTGACGAGAGGTTCGACTGGTTGGTTCAGCATCATAAACCTGCCAGCAAGGTTCCTGCCTTCCTCAATGTCACCGACATTGCTGGGCTGGTCAAGGGGGCCAGTGAGGGTCAAGGTCTCGGGAATGCTTTCCTCTCGCATATCAAGGTAGGATAATTAAGGACCCAGAGTGGATCCCTACCGTACACTATAAATTTTTAAAATTCTAATTTCTATTTTCCAACTGACAATTGGATGCTTTAGATTTTGGATCTTTTAGTAACTGCTGATCTCGTATCTTCTTTTTTATGTTTTTTTTTTTTGATGGAAAAGTTGATTAAACAAATGTCTGCTTTGAAAACTAAAACTTTCTTGTGCATCAAAAATCACAAATGATCGAAATTTCTAATGCTTGTTACCTGCAGGCTTGTGATGCTATGTTCCATCTGTGTCGAACCTTTGAAGATCCTGAGATCACCCATGTTGAGGGGGAGGTAGATCCTGTCAGAGATCTAGATATTATCAATGAGGAACTCAGGTAGAAATTGACAGGGACCATTTTGATTTCCCCCTCCCTACCTCCCTATTCCCCTTTTCTCCATAATTCCTCCTTATTTCCCTTCTCATAATCCCCCCCCTGCCCCCGACCTTTTGGTTTTTTTGATGTCAGGTATGTCAATGTGTATTGTTTTAGATTTTTTTGGCTGAAATAGGAAAAATAAGTTATTTTTTAATAGTAAGTGTCAAAGAAGGGTAATGAAGTAAACTGACCGGAGACATTCTGGTGTACACTCCTCCCCTGCCAAAAATAGTTTTCACCGAGATGATTATTTTAAAGGTTGTGTTCTCTGAGTTCGTGAAAATTAATAATTATTAGGTTTTGAGTATCTAAAAGAACAATTTTCCATTTTCTTTCTTTTCCTTAGATCTTAATAGGTATTTCCGGGGGTTTTTTTTAAAGATTGTAAGTTTTAAGTATTTAGGCTGAAGGTATTATTATTATTATTATTTTTTATAAAATTATTATTGTTATTTAAAGATTGTAAGTTTTAAGTATTTAGGCTGAAGGATGAAGACCAGTTTCTCAAGGTGTATGATGACATTGAGAAGAAATATAATAGGTTCATTTTTTTATATTTTTTTTATAATTGATTATTTCTAGATGATTTAAAAATGTCCGAAACCCAAGTGTTTTTAGTAAATTCCTGTGATTTTGAGTCTCAGTTTCCTGTTTAATTGATTTTAAATATTTTAAGCGAAGTCGATTGAGGTTGATTGGATTTTAATTTAATTTGATTGATTTGATAAATATTAATTGATTTTGATGTATTTTGATTGATTTAAATCGATTTTTATTAGGATTGACTGATTTTGTTTGAGATCAATTGATTTTTTTGATTTTTTGTCGGTTAATTGTATGATTAGTTTGTTTGGATTTCATTTAACGGAATGGATTTAGGATGAAATTGATAGAGATTGATTTTATCAATGTTTGAATTTTTCGTTTTTAGGGGAGAAAAAGCTTTGAAAGCGGAGTATGAAAGTCTTCAGAAAGTGAAGAAGGTAAAATACTTTCCTACTTGAAACCTTTATCTAAGCAACATTGATGAAGATATTGTCGATTTCCTCCTTTTTTCTGTTGCACAAATCCGCAAATCATTATACTTTATAGACAACCACAACTGAAAATAATCAATTATTTGATAAAACGGGGAGATCTTAATCATGTTTGCTTAGACCAAGGTTTGAAGGATATCATTGTGAATCTAAATGTTGGAAGGTCACTTGAATTAAAGTAGACAAATATTTTTAATAAAATCTTTAATTTAATTGAAGACTCCTGCCTTAAGAGAGTATAGTAATAAACGTTTATCAATAAAAAATCAGCCTGTTTTGATCCTAGTATTCCGACCTTTGAGACCGGTTTGAGACATAATAAGAAACTTTAATGGAGAGCNTACAGTACACAATTTGCAGTTGTATTAAAATTCAAAAAATGGGTAGTAAACTTTTCAGTGCTTATGATCCGGCAAAATATCTATCTAAACTGTAAATTAAATGTTCAAAATATCTATCAAAACTATTTAAAAATGTTCAAAATATCTATCAAAACTGTAAATAAAATGATCAAAATATCTATCAAAACTGTAAATAAAATGTTCAAAATATCTATCAAAACTGTAAATAAAATGTTCTGCTCTCTCTCAAAAAAAATATCTAAACTGTTGAAAAAAGGGAGAATAATAAAAATATCCCTTTCTCTGAATGATTCATCACATTTCATCATGAAAAAAGAAGAATCTTGTTTTAAAATTCTACTTTTGTTAAAAAGAAATGTTCATGACCGCATCAAAATAAAATGGATCCTAAACATGGAATAGTAAATGTTGGATCTGTTAAGATTCTGGTTGATGAGAAGAGGCATATCAGATTTGGGACCTGGAGTGCTGCTGATATTGAGGTATACTTTTTTGAAGTTAAATTTTCTTTTTAAATTAGTCGTTATTCCCCTGTTTTGGGGGGAAAAATGAAAAATTGGACTTAAAAACGCAACTTTTATCATCGTTTGTGAGACTTATTAATCAAAAGTACAGCGATCTTTCCCTAAAAACCATGGAATTTCCCCAATTCTGCGAAAATATCCTAAAAAATTACATTTATATATATATTCGGGGAAACCTAAAATGATTTTTGAAGGGGAGGAGGGCCCCTGTTCACAATCATCTTTAAAATCATTCCTGGCAATGTTGTTTTGGAAATATTTCAACATTGCAGTTGGGAACTTTAAAGGGGAGGACCCTGTTCACGATCATCTTTAAAATCATTCTTGGCAATATTGTTTTGGAAATATTTCAACATTGCAGTTGGGAACTTACAATTTCAAGTATTGATTCAATCTTGATCTTTTCCCGCGATTGATTTAAACTTGATCTCACCCCGCCAGATGATTATTTGCGTCAGAGCTTTTTTCGAAGTGTTTCCTGTTAAAACCATTAATGAATTAAAATTCACTGTTTATTTACCGACTTCTTGTTTCATTAAAGACTGGTGACTCTTACCGTTTACCCGCACTTGGCCGAAAATCATGATTTTAGCTATTATTGCCTTTAAAAATCGACTCATTCAACTTAGAATTTTTAAAAACAGGTAAGAACATTTCCGTGGTTCTCCCGAGTTCCCAATCCACATTTGGGGCAACCGCAAATCGGTCCAGGGGTCCAAGAGTTCAGACTAATTCCGCCAACTCATAAGTTTCCGACCTTTTGAGAAACACTTTCATAAGGATCCGGATTGTTTAGCAGTGCATCTAATCCGGATATGCTGGGTAGTGGATACTGTTTAATTAAGCTTCCCGGATCTGCATTTAATTAAAATGAAATTATTAATCACATCCTGGTCCTTAAATGATCAAATCAAAATGATATCGGTCGTAAGCACTTAATTGAATATTTTAAATAATATGTTTAAACCTTAAATGTGCTAACAATAGTCTTGTTGTTGTTCTAGGTACTCAACAAGTATCTATTCATCACATCGAAGCCTATGCTGTACTTGGTCAACTTGTCTGAGAAGGATTACATTAGGAAGAAGAACAAGTGGTTGCCCAAGATCAAGGAGTATGTGGATAAAAATGATCCCGGAGCAATGATCATCCCTTTCTCAGGTTTGTCAAGTTTTTTGGGGGTTTGAAGAATTTTTCGGAATTCTCGTGTTTGTAACCTTACACTTTACAGCTTAGTTGGGTTTTTTCACCGTCTTTCGTTAGTTCAATTCGGCTTTTATGAGTTTTTTTTCGGGTTTTCAGTAATTTTTTAAGTCATGGTGGGATTGCGATGTGGTCATAGGGCGTCTCTAAAAGTAAAAATTATTGATTGATTGATCTATTAATTTATTGATTGATCTATTAATTTATTGATTGATTAATACAGGAGCATTTGAATTAAAGCTGCAGGAGATGGGGAATGATGATGAGAGGAAAGCATACCAAGAGGAGACTAAATGTTTTACTAATCTAGACAAGATTATTGTACAGGTATATGAAATAGACAGGACAGTTATCAATAACTGGATGATAACGATGACAATAAAGACAATAATGATAATGATGACAAATGATGACAATGATGACAACAAAGATGATGATATCAGGGGAACCAAGGCACCTCAGGCCGCTGGTAGAATTCACACAGACTTTGAGAAGGGGTTCATCATGGCTGAGGTAATGTTAAATCTTAAAATCTTTTTTTTCAAGATTTAAACTTAATTTTACATTTTTTACTAAGGTCATGAAATTTGCGGATTTTAAAGAAGGCGGAAGTGAGGCAGCCGTCAAAGCTTCCGGTGGATACAGGTAGCAGCAATAAATCAATTATTTTTTTGTCTTTTTTAAAATTGCGTTTTTTTTAGGCAACAAGGAAAGAACTACACTGTCGAAGACGGAGACATCATTTTCTTTAAGTTTAACGCAGGCGCTGGTTTAACAGCTGCCAAGAAGAAATAAAACCGGTTTCTTGTTTTTTTTGGCGGGAAAAAGTGGACACTGTCGCATAACAGAAAATCCGCAAACTTACAAAATCTGATTTATTCTTTTCTTCTTTTTATACCAGGCTCTTGTTAATTGATGGAATTTTCAGATCTAAGGATGGGCAAGACAAAGAAGAAGAGACAGAGTGCGTCTGCTCGAGTGGATCCCGTAGGTATAAGGCAATGATAATGAAAGGGACTGTAGATGAATTTTTAGTTACCCTACATTGAATGTGTAAAGTATGAACTCCAATATTCTGTGGAAACAATTATGTGATAATTTTTTTCATTTTTTTAAAATTTTTCTTCAAGTGGCTTTTTAAGATTAGAAAAAGGAAATTATTTGTTAAACAAGAAAGATTAAAATTTTTATGGATCCAGGGATGTAAACTTTTGTGGAGTTAAATGTTGTGGATCCAGGGAGCTAAAGCTAACTATTGAGGATCTGTAGGGAGCTAAGAAATTGAGGATATAATGGAGCAAGATCCAGTGTTTAAATGTTGTGAATCCAATGGATCAGGATCCTGGAAGCTTAATATTGAGGATCCAATGGATCAGGGAGTTAAGATATTAAGGATCCAATGGATCAGGATCCTGGAAGCCTAATATTGAGGATCCAATTGATCAGGAAGTTTAGATATTGAGGATCAGATGGATCAGCATCCAGGGAGTTAAATGTTGTTAATCCAACGGATTTTGAATCTGGATTCAGGGAGTTGAATGTTACAGATCTAAATCCTACGAATTGATGTCTAGGGTTAGGTGAGACCGGGGATAATCTTGAGATGAACGGAGAGCCAACTGAGACAGAGATTATTGCCAACATCATGAGTCAACTTCAATCAGGTAACATTTTTAATATAAAATAGAATAAATAAATAAATAAAACATTATTTTAAAAACTATTATTATCGAATATTTAAAACAGTATTTTATGTGTGATTGATTTCTCACGTCATTGGTTAATTGCTTACATAATTTATGATCACTAAGTTGATTATTTGATTGATTGATTGGTTGATTGGTTGGCTGACTGATTGATTGATTTGTTGACTGGCTGGATGATTTATTGATTAATTGCATTAGGGAACCCTGAGGATAAGGTTTGTGGATGCCAGAGTCTGGGTAATCTTACCAGCTTAGAGATAATCCGGGGGGTTATTGTAGATCAGAAATTAGGTAATATCTTTAAGGTTTTTTTTTTGTAGATTAGTAATTATTATTTTAAACGTTACCACAGGCTAGGTAAGATTGCTGCGTGGTGGGGGCGGTTGTTTCTTAATGAGTTAGGGATTATTGCGGCTGTGTGGGGTGGGGGGGATGCAGATCAGAAATAAAGTGAATAGTTGTCAACAGGTCTGACTGTATTTAACATATTTTAGTTCGAATAGCTGGACCTCTCCTCCTAGATTCAGATCAGATGGTTAGATTAGCAGCTGCAGGAGCTCTTAGGTAGGCATTGATTGATTACATGATTGATTGATTAATGTATGAGTTGATTGAATTACGAGTTGATTGATTTATGAGTTGATGACTTGATGATGAGTTGATTTGTTGGTTGATTGATTGATTGAGTACTAGCTTGGTCAATGGATTGAGTGAATGACTGATACATTCTTTCATTGATTCATTGATTCATTGTTTTGAATTTAGGAATTTGTCTGCAACGGATCCTGATACAGCGGAGGAAATAGTTAAACAGGGATACATCACAAACTATAGAAATATGATTTAAAGGGATACTGTACAAACTACAGAGATATGATTTAAAGGGAAACATCATAATCTTTAAAAACACAATTAAAACACAGATACGATTTAAAGGGATTATCAATAAAACTTTATATAAAGCAACATTAAAATATTTTAAAAGAATTACATTGCAAACTTTTTAAAACCAAAATTTAAAGGGATGACCAACTTAATTTAGTTTAAAGGGATAGTTAATATTATTTAGTTTAAAGGAATAGTTAATATAATTTAGTTAAAAGAGATAGTTAACATTATTTAGTTTTAAGGGATAGTTAACATTATTTAGTTTAAAGGGATAGTTAACATTATTTAGTTTTTAAGATATCGATTGTTAACATAATTTAGTCTAAAGGGATTAACATAATTTAGTTTTAGAGGTTAGTCAACATAATTTATTTTATAGGGATAGTTAACATTATTTAGTTCAGTTACAGTGGTGGGCCTTTATATCAATACAATGAAGACTACTTTTTATAAGTTTAGAATCCTAGCAAGCTTTTTTTAAATTTTAAGTCTACATGCAAACAAAGAGAAGTATGTTAATTGACAACATTTCTATATTTATGTGTATCCATGCTGTTTAAAAGCTTGATGAAAATCAAAAATTCAAATCGAAAGTCGTCTTTTCATTGTATTGATTTTTACGACGTCGACGTTATAATGTTTGTGGTGTTAGGATGTGATGACTCCAGTTCTTGAATTCTTTAATCAGTTGACCAGCAGACAGACAGATACACTTACAGATCAGGAATATAATATTTTAACAGGTAACTGTAGAGGTGTATATTTAACTAGCTGACTAGCAGATACACTTACAGAGCAGGAATATAATATTTTAATAGGTAAGTGTAGAGGTGTATATTTAACTAGTTGACTAGCAGATACACTTACAGATCAGGAATATAATATTTTAACAGGTAAGTGTAGGGGTGTATATTTAACTAGCAGACTAGCAGATACACTTACAGATCAGGAATATAATATTTTAACAGGTAAGTGTAGAGGTGTATATTTAACTAGCTGACTAGCAGATACACTTACAAAGCAGGAATATAATATTTAACAGGTAAGTGTAGAGGTGTATATTTAACTAGCTGACTAGCAGATACACTTACAGATCAGGAATATAATATTTAACAGGTAAGTGTAGAGGTGTATATTTAACTAGTACTGTACACCCTGTGTCCCCTGCTCTTGTAGGTAGGTTTAAACATTTATCAATTTCAAAACTGATCTCATTAATTTATACAATGATTTCATCAATAAAACAATGATTTCATCAATTTAAACAATGATTTCACCAATTTAAACAATGAATTTATCAATTTGAACAATGATTTTATCAATTTAAACAATGATTTCATCAATTTAAACAATAATTTCATGATTGCATTAATTTAAACAATGATTTCATCAATTTAAACAATGATTTCATCAATTTAAACAAAGAATTTATCAATTTGAACAATGATTTTATCAATTTAAAGAATGATTTCATCAATTTAAACAATAATTTCATGATTGCATTAATTTAAACAATGATTTCATCAATTAAAACAATGATTTCATCATTTTAAACAATGATTTCATTAATTTAAACAATGATTTCATCATTTTAAACAATGGTAAGATAATGGTTTTTCTTTTTGAAAAATAGTTTCGGTAAATATCTTTGATCAGAGAAAAAAAAATCGCATAATGTAATCAAAGCAAACTTATCATGAATACAATTTGCAATTTTATTAATAACTTACATTTTTGTGAAACACTTTAAACGTCAGAAAACCTGACTCAAAACTCCTTAGGCGAATTATTTATATATTATCAATATGAGCATCATTAACACAACGGCTCAGAAAATTATGCCTAGTTCGCTAATGCCTAGTTCATGAGTGTCTAAATAACATTATGCTTAAATAAAATAAGAGTTATGGAATGCCTAGACAAATGTATATCAACGAGATAAAAAAAAATGAAGAGAGAGAAAAACAAAAAATGTGCAATTGTTATATTGTTTTGGTTTCGCTTAGATACCATTTTTGGTAATAAAAAGCGATTCTTAAACTTGATATTTTTCACTATATATGCTCGACATTTTTCACATGATCATCGTAACTGTTCTTGAAAATGTTTAAGGTTTTAGACTCTTTAATATAGTCTGGCAAACTGTTCCATGGGTTTATCACTCTCACAGAAAAAGAGTTTTTTCTCACGTTAGAATTGAATTGCTTTACATTTAAATTGAAACTACCATTGGATTGTCTTGTCAGTCTATTCGATGTCTCGCATGTTCTGCTGAACCAAGAAGATTCATCAACATTATCATATCCATGTAGAATTTTCCAGGTCAGTATTAAATCACCACGAAGTCGTCTGGCCTCTAGAGAGGTCAAACCAACCTCAATCAATCTTTCCTCATATGTTTGACCTGCCAGACCTGACGTCATTCTTAGAGCTCTGCGTTGCACATTCTCCAGTAGATTAATATCTTCTTTTGCTCTCTTTTTTCTTTTTGGTACGGAGGACTTCCAATAAGTGGAAACGTAAAATTTAGGCCAAAAAAATAGCGATAATACAATTAATCTATTAAGAAAAAAGATAAGTCCGATAAAACATAACAAATGTGATTAGGTGATTTTTAGTTAGATACAATAAAATATGTAATAAATCATTTGAATTTTTTAGTATCATTTCTTTCTTGGTGGAATATGTCTGTCTAGGCATTGGGTGACAAGGCATTATGAAATCTAGGCATAATGTTATCTAGGCATTATGAAATCTAGGCGTAATGTTATCTAGGCATTCAGAAATATGGGCATAATGTTATCTAGGCATTCAGAAATATGGGCATAATGTTATCTAGGCATTCAGAAATCTTGGCATATTGTTATCTAGGCATTATGAACTAGGCATATTGTTATCTAGGCATTCAGAAATATGGGCATAATGTTATCTAGGCATTCATGAATCTTGGCATATAGTTAACTAGGCATTCATGAATCTTGACACATTGTTAACTAGGCATTTATGAATCTTGGCATTTTGTTAACTAGGCATTCATGAATCTTGACACATTGTTAACTAGGCATTTATGAATCTTGGCATTTTGTTAACTAGGCATTCATGAATCTTGGCATATTGTTAACTAGGCATTTATGAATCTTGGCATAATGTTATCTAGGCATTCATGAATCTTGGCATATTGTTATCTAGGCATTTATGAATCATGGCATATTGTTATCTAGGCATTTATGAATCTTGGCATATTGTTATCTAGGCATTCATGAATCTTGGCATTTTGTTAACTAGGCATTTATGAATCTTGGCATATTGTTATCTAGGCATTCATGAATCTTGGCATTTTGTTAACTAGGCATTTATGAATCTTGGCATATTGTTAACTAGGCATTCATGAATCTTGACATATTGTTATCTAGGCATTTATGAATCTTGGCATATTGTTATCTAGGCATGATGTTATCTAGGCATTAGGAACTAGGCATAGTGTGATCTAGGCATTCACGAACTTGGTATACTGCATAATGTTACTGAACCATTAATGCAAATATTATTATTATTATTATTAGAAGCTATTTTATCCCTGCAGCTGGTGAATACAGTTCTAGAGAAAGCTAATTCTTTGCCAGTTAACGTTCAGGACATACTTGCACTCTCATATAAGGTGACTTTATTTGGTTTACAAGTAATTATTTTTTTCTTTTCATCTTTTAAAATGTGTTTTTTACCCCAAAATGTTAAAATGTTGATAATTTTTTTCTTTTTTTTAAAAAGCTAAGGAGTAATAAGATTAAGCACATTGTAAATATTCAGGGGTATATTTTTCTGTAAAATATATTCCTTCAAACCGACCTTATTAAAAAAAATACCCAGTATTTAAAAAGGTAATGTTTTTTGGTGGGGTAACTACGTATTAATAAAGAAAAAACTTTCTACCCATCAGGCAGTTGTCGCGTTAAATTAAAAGAAAGAGGAGATTGGTTTATATTTTAGGGTTAGGTTAGGTTAAGACACTTTCTCGACCGAGCGCTGTGGCTCAGACATACAAGGGGCCGAGCGCTGCGGCTAGGACAGGCTAGGGGCTTAGCGCTGAGGCTAGAAGAGGCTCTCTCTCTGTCTTGTAATTCAACATGGCATGCGTGTAACTCCTTTGGGGTTCTGCCTGTACATTGTACATTGAGTCTAATTTTGTCTTTTTTCAAATCTTCTGAGGTTAAATATTTTGTTCTTAATAACGCTAATCTACTTTGTTTAATCTCGATATTTTTAATATTGCTTAATCTCGATATCCATTGTGGTTAAGTGCTTGATCACTAAATTGTCGCTATGTCTGCAGGGCACGACCACCACCGGATAACTAAGAGGAATTAATTTTATTCTCATAAGATAAGGATGGCTGCTTGGTGCATAGATTCGCATGTTTAGAGATCGGAACTTTTGACGTGGAGTATCGTTAATCGCTTAAACGCTTAATCTCGATGTCAAATGTGGACATCTTTATATTTGAGGATTAATGCTTTGCTTCCCTCAATTAAAGTTATCCATGTAGGGTATGACAACCTCGGGATATCAAGAGGATTTAAATGATTCTTAGTTTCTTAGCTGGAGATTAATGCTTGATCCCAGGATTCAGAACATTAAAGTTTTGACCTTGATTATATCAATATAAGGAAGACGACTTTCGATTTAAATTTCTATTTTTATCAGGCTCCACAATCTAGATACACAAAACACGGAGACAAAAAGAAGCTGTCAATTAAAAAATCTTTTCTTTAATTACCTTTAAATTTGTAATTCAATAAAAGCTTGTTGTCAATTAAACCTTAGATAGAAAAGTCGTCTTCATAATATTGATTGTCTGCCACCGCACTCGACATGGATTTCATGGGTTTAGTTTTACTAATTAGTTTTTTAAATCGTTAAGAAATAACGGTCGGCATTCATTGATAGAAAAGAGGGTTGATTAGTTATTATTATTATAATTACTATGATTTTAATTTTGTTAATTCATAAACAACGCTTGTACAATCAAAATCAGAAAGACCCGAAATTAATTGACAGTTAAAAAAGGCAGACCACATTTTAGGAAAGGCAGGATTAGGGCTATTCTGTGGTTATCGTTTCATCAATTATATTTGTAAAATTATATTGTAAAGTCAAATTGTGAATTAGTTCCAGGTCTTTCTGATTAGGACTGTAGGAATCGCTATTGGAGCATTTAAATTAAATTTGTAAGACACCAATTTTTAAAAAAAAAATTATTTTTTTATTTTTTTATTTTTAGTATTTTTACTGGATCTAATTTGCTTGGATTTAGTTTAACTTTACTAGAATTGGAAAACCGAGATAATTTAGATAATATTTGAATAGGAAAGTGTATTAGGTAAGTGTAGGGTGTAGAAGTCTCAATAACTCAGAATGATAACATATTTTCACAAGTTTATTTATTCATATGTTACTCGTTTAACATACTAAGAATGACTAGTGTAAAATCCGAGATTGAACAAGTTTGCGAAATATCAGTGAAACTGTTTGCGCATTTATGCAAACTCAATTCTAATTTTAACATGTAGGACAAAATCATATTTTCTTATNTCTACTACTAGTAACAGTGCATGAATCTAAGATACAACAGAACTCCATATTTTCTAAACTATCTATCTATCTATCTATCTAGGATTGGTGCTGCTCTACTACTAGTAACAGTGCATGAATCTAAGATACTACAGAACTCCATATTTCCTAAACTAATCCAAACTGTAGCAGAGATACTTAGGGAGAATATAATAAATAATGAAAATGCAGATAAAATTAATAAAAAGATTTAATAATAATTAATTGACATTCCTTCTGAAGAAGATCTGAAACTATGAACTTAGTTTTCACTGGTTATACCTTCCTGACTCCTCAGTCGGAATGGCCCCCTACTCCTAGCTAGTAATATCGGGGTTATTTACATCTATATAAGAAAGCTCTTCGTTCATATATATATTTGTATGTATAAATTGAGCTATAGCTGGCCATTTTTTTAGAGAACCCATGAGTACGCTAGGGGTAACATAGGCAAAAAAAATCGATTTCTTTCTTCAAAACATTTTTCTTTTCAAATTCGATTTCTTTAATTCCACGGGCAACGCCGGGTACTTCAGCTAGTATTACTAAAGTCGTTTTTTTTCTCGTCAATTCCAATTTAAATAAAATTATATTATTTGTTCTCTTCTGCAGTGTGGACGCAAGGTAATGATTTTTTTCCTTTTTTTCTTATTTCTCACTTTTGATAAAATGGAAAATCTTTATAAACGATTGTTTAACATTTTTTTTTCCTGAACAGAGATCGATCCCTCTGCTGGAAACATGTTATCGGGTTTGAAGTCATTATACCAAGTATGCAACTTCTTCTTCGCAATCCATTAATATCTTCTCCACTGAGTCATAATTGAACCTACCGGCTGTTGGTTGAGCTTTAATTCCTGAACCTTAAACCTTGATTCATCGTTTATTGAGAATCTTAACAAAAGAATTATTTATGGCATTTAACGTAATTTTTTTAATGGTGGACTTGAAAAGTCATTGATTGTAGGATTTATTTATTGTATTTATTTTCTTCATAAAATTCAGATTATATCTTATTAGACAATATATGGATAGATTCCTGAGAAAAAGTATGTTTTACTTGAAACCTGATGGTTTCATTTTTAGCAGTGTGATTAGTTGAACTACTTTATCCGTAACAACTTCTAGTGATGCGTAAATTATGACTTTGAAAAATAAGGGAATGTTTTAGGAAACAGATCTGTGATCTATCCTCCTCTGCTCCGGTGTCGGAGGAACAGGAGATGGAGGTTGTCGGAGGTCAAGAGGAGGACGTACGGTTCAAGGTAGTTCAAGATATGTCGAGATAAGTCAAGGGAGGTCAAAAGAAGTCAAGATAGGTAAAATTAAATGAGTCTTAAGGATTTAAAATTAAGTTCAATGAGGTCATTTGAGAATTGGAGGTCAAGGGAGGCATAGAGAGGTCTAGAGAGGACTAGAGAGATCAATAGTGGTCAAGAGAAGTTATTGCAAGTCAAATGAGGTCATGTGTCATCATAGGAAAGTCATTTAAGGTCAGTGGAGGTCAGGTGAGGACTAGATTTTTCTATCTACATATTTAACTTTGAATGTATCTATATCCATCTATCGGTATATCTATCTATTAATCTATGTATCTAGGTATGTGAGGAAGTATTGAAGGGTCAGCAGACTAGCCTGGAGCTGCTGGCCAACCTGTTCTCCTTGGAAGGGGAGGAGGATGGGGAGGGGGAGGACTGGGGGGAAATGGACAGCGAGGAGGAGGATATCGGCGACGAAGAAGTGTTAAACGGAGAAGAAGGGAATTATTCAACTTGAAATACATATTTACTTAATGGAACTGGTAACAACCTACCCTTTAAAAGTCGCATGTCCCTTTAAAAATTCACATGCCGGATAAACTTCCCTTTACAAAGTCAAACGCCCGATTAACTTCCCTTCTAATGCCCAATGAACTATACTACCCTATAAACATCTATCTGATATAAATTGGTCGTAATATCCTAGTTTTCTTGTTCTAAAAACGGAGCATTTTAAGTCGTGATTTCTATGAAATGCCGCTGAGAGTGAGATATAACAATTTTTAATAAGACCAGGTTTGAAGGGTACCGTTGTGAATTGAGCATCCAAAACTTTTATATGGAAGGATAACTTGAAATTACGTTTACAATCGCAATACAGTGTTAACATTTTTTTATATTTTTCGCTGAATTTGGAAAAAAATGAATTTAACATAATATTATGTTAATGTATTATGAAAAAACTTGAAATTAAATTGTAAAAATATTGAATAATTCTCCAGGGATGGAGGAGACTGTACACCCTGTGTCCCCTGCTCTTGTAGGTAGGTTTAAACATTTATCAATTTCAAAACTGATCTCATTAATTTATACAATGATTTCATCAATAAAACAATGATTTCATCAATTTAAACAATGATTTCACCAATTTAAACAATGAATTTATCAATTTGAACAATGATTTTATCAATTTAAACAATGATTTCATCAATTTAAACAATAATTTCATGATTGCATTAATTTAAACAATGATTTCATCAATTTAAACAATGATTTCATCAATTTAAACAAAGAATTTATCAATTTGAACAATGATTTTATCAATTTAAAGAATGATTTCATCAATTTAAACAATAATTTCATGATTGCATTAATTTAAACAATGATTTCATCAATTAAAACAATGATTTCATCATTTTAAACAATGATTTCATTAATTTAAACAATGATTTCATCATTTTAAACAATGGTAAGATAATGGTTTTTCTTTTTGAAAAATAGTTTCGGTAAATATCTTTGATCAGAGAAAAAAAAATCGCATAATGTAATCAAAGCAAACTTATCATGAATACAATTTGCAATTTTATTAATAACTTACATTTTTGTGAAACACTTTAAACGTCAGAAAACCTGACTCAAAACTCCTTAGGCGAATTATTTATATATTATCAATATGAGCATCATTAACACAACGGCTCAGAAAATTATGCCTAGTTCGCTAATGCCTAGTTCATGAGTGTCTAAATAACATTATGCTTAAATAAAATAAGAGTTATGGAATGCCTAGACAAATGTATATCAACGAGATAAAAAAAAATGAAGAGAGAGAAAAACAAAAAATGTGCAATTGTTATATTGTTTTGGTTTCGCTTAGATACCATTTTTGGTAATAAAAAGCGATTCTTAAACTTGATATTTTTCACTATATATGCTCGACATTTTTCACATGATCATCGTAACTGTTCTTGAAAATGTTTAAGGTTTTAGACTCTTTAATATAGTCTGGCAAACTGTTCCATGGGTTTATCACTCTCACAGAAAAATTGTAATCTGAGTAACAATGAGGTAGAAAATTATCAGTTTTCAGACAGAAAATAAGGATATTTCATTCATCCTTGTTCAGACAACTGTCTGAAGGGTACCATTGTGACTTGAATCAGACATGCTTCTCTAGAATTAGAGAGTCACTTTAAATTAAGTCTTAGCTGTCCCTTATGATAAAGTTTTTATGACTAATTTTGGTGAATAAACCAGGATATTGATCTCAGAGTTGTTGCTGAAGCCTTGGATAAACTATTTGACGCGTTTAGCGAGGACGACACCGACGCCATCTTTTTTCAGCTGAATCTTCTCCAGAAAATGCGCGGAATCGCAAATTCTATGAAAATTAAAATGGCGGCACAGAAGCGAAATTTCAACAGCGAAAGTCTAGGGATTGTGAACATGGCGAAACTGAACCTGCAAAGATTTATAAAATATAAAGAAAAACGGCCGAAAATTTAATTTTTATATTTTTTCAGAATCCAGTATGACGCTAAACATAGCTAGCTCTGGTCCCCCTAAGATTAGGAAAAATGCCTCGAAGAAAAATAAGAAAAGTTGGAGGAAAAATGTTGATATGACAGAAGTTGAAGATTTTCTAGGTAATTTACATTTGAGACTTGTAATGTTAAAGGTACTGTTTGGCGGCTTTTTCAAGTGAGACATTTTTTTGAAGAGTTTTATATTACATTAATGGACCAAAAACTGACTAAGTAATTCGTTAAATCATTTCAAATCATAAAACCAGGCTACAATTTTGATTTAGAAAAGTCATCTTGAAGCTAATGAACGTAGGACAACCTGAATAGTCTGATTTTTGATTTTTGAATTTAGATTAGTAACCTTAAAAGCCTTGTCCAATCAAGAATACGAGATATTCATGATTTTCTCTGTAAAACTTTATTATTGTAGTTTTATATCTGAAAAATGACTCGCGTCTTTCTGTTTCAGCAGACAGAAACATTGGAGAAAATTGTTAGAATTAGTTTAAAGAGAAATATTGACTATGACTAAGTTATTTTTATCCGAAGAACAAACAGAAAATGAAAAATCTTAACTCTGTGGTGTTGAAAATTCNATGCACAAGTCACTGTGAAGACAAACCACGATTGAAATTAATCAGTTTTAAAAATTATAATCATGAATATCTAACTAAAGTTGATCAGACAAAGCTTTTAAGGGAACCTTTGCATGTCACTGTCCTTTGAAATCCTCGCTACCATAATGATAATATGGTTTAGAGGAACAAAGGTTATGGAGGGGATCGGTGGATCCTTCACAGAGAAGAAGGATCAGGAGATCTTTAATCCTTTAATAATAATAATAATAATATTATGTTTGGAGGAACAAAGGTTTGAGGAGAGGATCGGTGGATCCTTCACAGAGAAGAAGGATCAGGAGATCTTTAATCCTTTAATAATAATAATAATAATAATATTATGTTTAGAGGAACAAAGGTTTGAGGAAAGGATCGGTGGATCCTACACGGAGAAGAAGGATCAGAAGATCTTTAATCCCTTAATAATATTATGTTTAGAGGAGCAAAGGTTTGAGGAGAGGATCGGTGGATCCTTCACGGAGAAGAAGGATCAGGAGATCTTTAATCCTTTAATATTAATATTAATAATAATAATAATAATAATAATATTATGTTTAGAGGAACAAAGGTTTGAGGAGAGGATCGGTGGATCCTTCACGGAGAAGAAGGATCAGGAGATCTTTATGTTGGATACAGGAGGAGAGGACAGGAAGGAGAAGAAGAAAAGGAAGAAGGAGATTAAACCCTTAAAGTAGGTTTTTATAGACATTAATCTCAGGGATTTATTTAGAGATTTTACAGATTTCAATCTCAGGGGTTAGTCTGGAGTTTTTATAGACTTTAATCTCAGGGATTTATTTAGAGATTTTACAGATTTCAATCTCAGGTGTTAGTCTGGAGTTTTTATAGACTTTAATCTCAGGGATTTCTCTAGAGATTTTATAGATTTCAATCTCAGCGGTTAGTCTGGAGTTTTTATAGAATTAGAGACTATTTTTTCCAAATTTTTTTAACTTAGATATTATTTGTGGCAACTGTTGTTGACTTTGACAAAAATGCTTTATTTTTAGATGCCACTCTCTTCTACAAGGATTACCTGGAGTTCCTGATCCTAAACCTATGCGTCGCAGGTATTCTATCTATCTATCTTTATATTTCTATCTTCATATATATCTATATCAATCTATCTATATATCTATCTATCATTCTTTATGTCTATCTATCTATATCTATCTATCTATCTAGAACAAGAACCCTGGATCAGAGAATGAATCCTGTTGTAAAACAAAGGATTGAAGGAATGATCTCTGCTGGGATTATCCCCAGAAAGATGGTTGAATCAAAGTAAGTATTTTTACAGGGGTGTACCGTGTATACTGTATATTTTCTCTTTACAGGGGTGTACCGTGTATACTGTACTGTATATTTTCTCTTTTCAGGAGTGTACTGTGTATACTGTATATTTTCTCTTTACAGGAGTGTACCGTGTATACTGTATATTTTCTCACAGGAGTGTACCGTGTATATTGTATATTTTCTCTTTACGGGGGTGTACTGTGTATACTGTATATTTTCTCTTTACAGGATTGTACCCTGTATATTGTATATTTTCTCTTTGCGGGGGTGTACTGTGTATACTGTATACTTTCTCTTTACAGGAGTGTACCGTGTATATTGTATATTTTCTCTTTACGGGGGTGTACTGTGTATACTGTATATTTTCTCTTTACAGGATTGTACCCTGTATATTGTATATTTTCTCTTTGCGGGGGTGTACTGTGTATACTGTATACTTTCTCTTTACAGGAGTGTACCGTGTATATTGTATATTTTCTCTTTACAGGGGTGTACCGTGTATACTGTATATTCTCTCTTTACAGGAGTGTACCGTGTATATTGTATATTTTCTCTTTACCGGGGTGTACCGTGTATACTGTATAATGTATATTTTCTCTTTAAAACTAAAGATTTTGTTTCCAACAAGTGATGTATGTTTGTGCCGAGCGGAATTATTTCTGAATTTTGGAAATCAAATAATGTTTAGGGGAAAAAAATTATATTTAGGAAAAATAAATAATATTTAGGGGAAAATAAGTATTATTTAGGGAAAAAATAAGTATTATTTAGGGGGAAAATAAGTATTATTTAGGGGAAAATAAATAATATTTAAGGAAAATAGATAATATTTAGGGGAAAATAAATAATATTTATGGAAAATAGATAGTATTTAGGGAAAATAAATAATATTTAGGGAAAATTAATAATATTCAGGGAAAAATAAATTCATTTTTGGTTTTAAAAAACGCCTTTTAGTCTCCAATTGTAGCATGTTTTCCAGAGCATCAAAAATCTTTGTTAAATGTAGCATGTCCTTAAACCAGTGTCTTAACAAAAATGAATGAAACATTAATTGGTTATTTTTTTAAATTAGTTTTTTCTTTATTTGTGGCTCTCTATCAAATTGAGAAGGGTTCATTTTTGCTGCAGAAAAAATTACCATATTTTTTTGCTTATTTTTAATCTGAAACTTGATGAGTGATGAGCCTTTCAGAGATTATTATAACCTCTGATCTCTAATAGTTCTCCTTAAATCTATTTAATTGAAATGTTTTGTTATCATTATTGAAATTAGGTGGAAAAAAATAATCAAAACACCCAAGATCTATTTTCCACCTAATTGCTTTATACTTGTACTGTTAATATAATCACCAATTTGTAATTGTAAACTCGTTCTGTACACAGATGCATGTATTTTAGCAATAAACTTTATCTATCTATCTATCTATCTTCTTTTTATCAACAATTCGGATTTTGGTTTTGAGAGTAAAACAGTTTTCAATTGTATTTTTTGGTTAATATTTTGTCCTATATATCTGCATATTTTTGCGGATCCACGGATCAGCATACTGGAAGCCAAAATCTTGCGGATCCTGATCCTAAGCACTAAACTAGCCTAGAAAAAAATGTGTTCAGGAAGGATCCTGATCCTAAGCACTAAACTAGCCAAGAAATAAGTGTGTTCAGGAAGGATCCTGATCCTAAGCACTAAACTAGCCAAGAAATAAATGTGTTCAGGAAGGATCCTGATCCTAAGCACTAAACTAACCAAGAAATAAATGTGTTCAGGAAGGATCGTGAGATGTATCTTCAGATGAAGAAGAGAACAGCTGCTGAGAGACTAACAAGAAGAAGAACCAAATTTGATTTTGATCTTTGGGATGAAACAGGTAGACAGACAGACACACAGACACGCTGAAAGATAGATAGTTGAATTTGGGGGTCCCTTTTTCGCTTTCAGTCCCTGAAAGAATCCATAGCTAACTTTACATTGTATTTTTTAAATCCAGAATCTACCCAAATAAATTATCAAGTACAAAAGGTGGCAACAGAGAAATGTACCAATTATACACGACGTCAAAAGTGTCAAATATAACAAGGAAAACGAAATTATCTCACGTTAGTTGACATGTTTTCCAAGACTAAATAAAAAAGTGTAAAAACAGAAAATAAAGAACACTTAAATTTCACTTATTTTACTGTGAGATAAGCACTTTATTCTAAAATTATCACTACTAATAATAATTTAGTCTGACACAAAAACTGAGCTGACACTTGTGACTTAAGAATACAGCTGGACTGAGAGTGTAGAAATTCTACGTTGCCATCTATTGTTACTAGAATCTGTTTGAGAATTTACCCACTCTCTTTCTATTGGCGTCATAGATTTATTTAGAGGGAGAGTGGGGGACGTCCCCTCAGATAATTATAATGATGATGATGATAAAAATGATAATGATGATGATGATGATATAGTTAAACCTGGAGAAGAGATATCTGAACAAGATTCATGGATAACCCCTGAAACTAGAACACATAGAGATATCTGGACAAGTCAACATATTCCTAAAGAAACTAAGAAAAGGTCAGGTTTATTCTCAACTATAAGTTATGATATTCATTCATAATTAGTTCCATTGGATACCTGATTCATTCGTAATATGCAAGTTATTTGATCCACATGTTTTATAATCCATGTGTTATCTCATCCATTCCATAGGTTATAAGATCCAGTCATAATTTGATCCGATTGTTTTTCGTAATCCTATCCGTTATTTAATCCATACATAATCTGATCGAATCATTATAAGATGATCGATTAATTATTTTATTTATTCATTATCAGATCCATTTGCTTTACATTTAAAACACTTTTTGACAAATAAAATTGACATGCAGGAAAATGTTCCTAATTTAGAAACTTCTGCACTGGTACTCTTCTACCAGCAGTAGAGCTTCCTCATCCTGGTTCTAGTTATAATCCTGCTCTAGCTGATCATCAAGATCTACTTTGGCAGGTACACGCCTACCTTATCTTGATCTTGATCTTGATCTTGATCTTGATCTTGATCTTGATCTTGATCTTGATCTTGATCTTGATCTTGATCTTGATCTTGAATTTAAATTTAAATATGCATTTGTTAATATCATTAATACACTGTTTAGGCTGCTATGGTAGAGTTTGATAAAGAGAAAGAACAGAAAAGACTTGAACGAGCAACTACTGCTATGTATCCAACTAAAGGTGAAGCACCTACAGAGCAAACTATGATGCAGGTTAGAAACATTAAAGGGACTTTACGCGTAAATCGGAAAGATGGCAATGTCCGATTCACAACGCTATTCCTTAAAGCTTTGGTGGTTTCCCTACAAAAGCTTCTTGCGCATTTCTACTGTTGGAAAACATAGAAATTATCAGAATTAAATCCTTTAAGCCCAGAAGAACTATATTTTCTTCCACATTATTGATCAGATGAAGGTTTCAAGGGTACTGTTGTAAATCAGGCCACTTGAAATCACGCTTTAATTGTTTACAGAGATTCAGACAGCTCTGAAAATTATGCATCAATTTTCTAGACCGGGTCAACTTTGAAAAGTCATTTAACATTACACGTTAACTTCTTTGTGATCCTAGACAAGTAAAATTTAAAACTGCACGTGATTGGTTCTAGCTTGTTAATAGAAGCGATTGTGAACATTTCAATGAATTTTTCATGAGAGCATGCACATTTTGAAGTTTTGTGAAGTGAATTCTTCAAAATATTCACCATCTAAACTGTGCAGGAGATGGCAGAAGGTATTGCTGAGTTGGGAGGGAAGGTGGATGAGGATGAGAAGGAGGAAAAGGAAGGAGAAGATGAAAAAGAGAAGAAGGATGAGGAAGAAACAGAAGGAAAGGGAACCTCGAAAATGGCCAAACCCAAAACAAGGTGATTAATTATAATTCATTAATTATATAAATTAAGTAGATAGATACACTGTAAACCTTCGTCCGTCCATGGATACAGTTCGGTGGCAAGGAGCGTCGACCCCTAATTTATTAGATGCATGGGTTTTCTGCTAATAACAATGCTTATTTTTTAATCTGATACTTTTGTGAATAGGATCATTTAAAATTATGTCTACAGTCCGTTTAAATGTTTAGGAAGCAGAGACGTGATGAACGGAAACGAGGATTTGAAGAAAGAAAGATGGCTTCTCTGCTTGCCGCAAAGAGAATTGACGATCAAGTTTTTCTTGTTAAATCACTCAGAAAGGTAAAATATTTGCATCATCGGTCTTGTATCAATCATATGAGAGGGGGGNGGTAACAACAGCAATTTGTAATTCCCACCACACAAATGTTCTATGCGGCACGAGTACGCCCAGTAATTCATGATCCGGAGTGAAAACTCATAACAACATCCTTTGTAGCCAACTTGTACGGATATGTTTTTAAAATGTACACATTGTATCATTTTTATCTAGGAAAATAATATACGTTTTTTGTCTGAAAAAGTTCGAATTCGTTTAGGATTTTTCAAAAGTTTGTTTACAATAACTATTAAATGTATATTTTAGAAACTATCCGCTGCTGATAATGAAACGATAGAACGACAGAAACGTAAAGAGGAGAGAAGGATAGAGAAGTTGAAGAACCCAGTTCAGCATTCAAGATACAAATATGATGCTCCAGAGATAGAAATCAAGGAAACCCAAATCATATGTAAAACTTCTTTGGAATTTTACAGAATTTAAAATTTTACCAATTAACTTTACAACTTTGGTTTGTCTAAATTACACCAATCTTCATGATCAGTCTCTTTAAATTGATTAACTGATTGGTTTAATCAGCTGTCTGATGAACTCACTGGAAATCTCCGTAATCTGAAACCCGAGGGTTCACTTCTAGAAGTTGGGGTTGAACTTTATTTCGCTTGCCGCCAGAAAAACATGATTTTTAGGCCATTTTTGAACTCTTGTTTCTTAAACCTGTCTTAAAATCCCAAGCGGAGAAAGGTTAGAGTATAGAATGTTGATAGACAGTTTGTACAGGGGAATTGTACAGACCCCTTATCATTGGACAAACCCCTTTCATTCGAAAATTTGGAATAGGAAAATTTGATAAAATTAATAATGATATCTATCTGGTGTCTATGCCTAATATCCCTTTTCCTTTGTGCACAGTCCTTAGACAAGATTTTTAAAAGTTTCTTTTATTTTAGATACAAGAGCTTACAAAGAAGAAACATTGTGGAAACAAGAATAACCCAGAAACAAGCCAGACACAAGGAAATCATTTATAATAAATATTTTTATTTATTGAGTCCGCGATTTAAAAGCTTCTGTTCGAGTCGTAATTCCGTAAACCCGAATTTAAGACCCAATCTTCGACCCAACTCTAACGACAGCATGTGTTACGTAATTGACAGCTGCAAGATCTTCGGCTCGACTGAAGGAGTTAGGCCCAATGAAAATAAAACCGACCTTGGTTGGTTTTAGTGGAGAATAAGGCTGAATGTTGAGTCTTGTTCCAGAAAAACCCGGAATTGTGCCAATTCCTACCATGAAAATCCACCAAATAGAATATTAAACCGTTTTTTTTTAACTCAACTCAGTGGAAAATTAGATGAAGCTTGAATTCGAAAGCTCAAGTCGTAAATAAGGCCCAACGACAGCCTGGACCCGAGCCGTATGTTCCCATATTTTTTAAATCGCGGGCTCTTTAATTTCGATTAAATTTTCATTTAAAAAAAATCTGAGGAATTGTCTTTAATTAATTAAAAGGAAGAAAAATATGTACGGCTTACGTTCTATGGAATGAAGATTGATGTTTGATTTTTTAAAGTTTTTTTTACTTATATTTTACATTGAAATTAGGATAATAATCGGTAATTTTACATACATTAATAATAATTATAATTAAATAATATATATAAATGATTGATGAACAGATTAAGAAAGTTGATAAAAGATCTCATAAGATGGCCTGGGAGGCAGATATAAGGTAATAATCTTGTTATTTATTAATTTTCCATAGTTAAAGGGACTGTAAGCGTAATTTAAATTGACACGCCATGTAAAGATGCCAACGCCCGATTCACAACCATTCTTAACCGGATAGATATTGTTATTTTTAGACGCGAAAAGTGTTAAATTAACATCAACTTCTAAATCAGACAAAGATTGGACATTGTCATCTTTGTATGGAGGTTCACTTGAAATTATGCTTATAGTCACTTTAAGTTAAAACGTCTTAAGCTATATTTCCAGTATAGAGGGGTTAGGATTTACAGCGATTATCTTTCAAATTATAATTATTATACAGTGGGGCCCATAAAACTCTGGAAAAGGGAGACAACTAAAACAACCTTTTTGTATTTTATGTTCTTATAAAGCTTAAAGTTATGCCATGGTAGCTTGCAAATCATCTTGGGTTGTAAAATGGGCTTATACCACGGTGACAAGGGTCCCACTGTTTTTTTTTTCTTTTAACTTTTGTCATGATTAATTAATACGTTTCTTGAGAAGAATTTTGCAACATAAATATCAATACATTGACAAACCATTGTTTAAGTTTTTAATGAATTAATGATAATACATTTTCAGGCGTGAATTATTTTGAATAAAATGTTAAATTTTTCAGTAAACTGAAGCAAGCAGCAGCTAAAACTGTGAAGAATAAGAAGAAGAAAATGAAAGCTCTGAAGCGAGCTCAGGCTGCTGTGGAAGCATCTGTCTCAGCTGTTTCAGAAACAGCTGCTTAAATTTAGTTTTTTCCTCGGCGGATTTCTTAAATTTCGATGCATCATGTTTTCTAAAGGGAAAATAAAAAGATATTTTTTGAATTTTATTTTTTTACGTAAACGAATACACTTGTTACACGTATAATGCTACTTTTCCACGAAAGGTGTTTGACTGCCATCTAACAGCCACTTGATGGCGTTACATATAAAACCCATTCAGAGGGTTAAGATTTACTTTTCATAAAGAAATACTCCGACTTTTACATGAAACATAATATAATTTATTAATTTTTGAAGATTTTGTATTTCGTATCCAAAAGATTATCTTCAACTGTCAGAGATGAGATACACTAAATTTCGAATGGAAATATCCTCTTGAAACAAGAAATTGGAGCGAAAAGAATTGAGCCTCGGTCACAAACTCTAATTTTCTAAACCCTATTTCTGAACAACCCAATTTTTAACAAAATGGCGTCTTCGTTTTCCACTTTTTTCTGTGATTCACTGTAATTTTAACAAATCTTTTTCTCTTCTGTAACCACTTTCCCAAATGTCGTCTTTGTTTCCCAATATTTTCTGTGAATTACTGCACTTCTAAAGATGAGTGGATTAAATTTTCCTGAGAGCACTCGGAATATTTTGGCACTACTAATAGTGAGCTGAAGAATTGCAGAAAATAAATGTCGTCTTCATTCTATTTGGATATTTATCTTTCTTATTTTTTCCCTATTGATTCTTTATTGCAAGAAAATCGCAAATTTTTTTTCGCGAAATGTAGAATTTTTGTCTTCGTTTTTTCATTTTTCGCTTAATTCATTTTCGCAATAAAGTTTGCAACATACGAAAAAAACAGGGTAGGTGGGGGGTGATGCAGCGGGTAGCAACAGCCGTAGTACCTTGGGAGAGGGGGGGGGAGCAAGGTTTTGTCCCGCTTTATATACGATCGGATTGAAAAAGCGGAGAGATTTCATCTCTCAGGCGGAATGATCCTTAAGTCAGAAATCGGAATTCCAATCAAGAGAAATATACCAGCTGGGGAAATAAAAAATTTTAAAATGCATATTTAATAGTTCAAATGAGTAAATAATGTGTTGTTTGAACTACAGGGAATGAAATCATAATAAACAATAGTTCAAACATTCAAGCAGGATTCGCAGGAGAAATCACCGACAGTGTTAAAAGTAAGACGACATATGAAGCTATGAGTGTACACTCGTACCGGTGGGTGGTGGTGGTGGGGGGGGTTTGACGTAATCGGATTTTGGAATTTGAGGATCTTACTACGGAGGATATAAATTGATTTAAATTTAATAAGATTTGTCAACTTATTGACAGTTCTTTTTTAATTTTTGGTAATTTCCTAGTATACGATTTTTGGACCCCCCCCCCCCTCCTATCAATTT